AACGGCGCTTCGCGTTCTGTTGAAGGCCCGGGCCGTGGAGGGCACAGTCCGGCGTCTTGGAAGAAAGTGAAATGGGCGTGGCGGCGCACGCGCGCGATCCGGCGCTGTGGGAGGCCGAGGGGAGAGGTTCGCTTGAGGCCGGGAGTTTGAGACTCCTTCTGCACCAAAAAAAAAAAAGAAATCGATAATCAGAAAGTTAAGCCGAGCAGGACGCTCTCCTGAGCCCAGGAGTTCGAGGCTGCAGTGAGCTCGGATCCTGCCCTTGCACCGCAGCCTGGGCCACAGAGCGAGACCCCGACTCTAAACTAAACGAACATAAACGAAAAGGTGACGTGATTTTTGTTTTATATACAAACATAATTCAGCTGGGCATGGTGATGCACGCCTGTAATCACAGCACTTTGGGAGGCTGAAGCAGAAGGACTGCTTGACCCCAAGAGTGCAAGACCAGCCTGGGCAACATAGTGAGACTGCATGCTTACAAAAAAAAAAAAATAGCCGGAAGTGGTGATGTGGGCCTATAGTCCCAGCTACTTGGGAGGCTGAAGCGGAAGGACAGCCTGAACCCAGGAGGTCAAGGCTGCAGGGTAGCTGTGAGCGTGCCACTACTCCAGCCCGGGCGACAGAGTGAGACCCCTGACAAAAAAAAAAAAAGAAAAAACAGTATAATTCATCTGACAGATATGATGAGGACCCCAGTGTGTCAGACATTCTAGGCGCCAGGGCCACAGCAGGACACAGATCACATGCCCTGGGCCCATAGAGCTTCTGTGACTAACAAAAGTAATTCAAAGGCAGGTACAACATACTGTCCGGAAGGAACTAAGTCAGGATGCTGCCACAGAGGTGAGGCAGGCAGAGGAAGTAGCTCTGGGCTCCTCCAAGCTCCATCCCCTTGGGAAAAAAGCAAGCAAAGAGCAAACCCCATTTCCTGTATCTGCGGCCCCAGCCATCTACGGCCTAACCTGGGCCTTCTGTGCGCGTCACACCAGGCCGGACCAGCTGCAGAATTTCCAGGGCCCAGACCGGCACGAGGGCACACGCCTGTGCTCCCTGCACTTTGGGCGTTCAAGGTGGGAGGCTTGCTTTAGCCCAGGGGTTCCAGACCAGCCTGGGTAACATCGTGAGAACGCGTCTCTAGGAAGAAGAAAAAAATAATTTCCAAGGCCCAGTGCAGGACGCAAACGCGGGGCCCCCTGTTCAAACACTCGGAATGTCAAGTGGCCACAGTCTTACATTCAACCAAGCACCGGGCCTGTCTGAGCGAGGCCCAGGAGGCCCGTACCAGCATCCTGCAGCAGGTCACGCCCTCCACCAGCGGAGCTGGCCTCCAGGGTCACCCCACTGCGGTGACCTTCTGGGCAGTTCCAAGGGAGTCCCTCCGGGCCTGGCCCGGGGTCTCCTCTGGCACCGCAGGACGCAGACGGGCTCTGCGGGTTCTGGGAGTGGCGCCTGGGCTGGGAGACAGCAAGACAGGTGGGAGTTCACGAGTGGATCCAGCTCCACGCTTCCAGTTTTTCCGGCACCTTCTGCTGTTGGCTCAGGCGGAGAGGAAGCGCCCAGAGCTCCCTCCCCGTGCCGAGTTGTTCTCCACGCAGCAGCCACTGAGGCCTGGCCTTGCCCCCCTCCCCCCCCCGCCCCCCATGGGTGTCTGGACCACCGCCGCCCCACCTGGCGGGCGGCTTCACGTCGCCGCGTGTCCCCAGCTCCTGCCTGACAGTGGACCCTTCTCCCAAACGCGCTCAGGAATGACCCGCAGGTGCCAGCGGGCGCGGGCCCCAGGGACACGGGAGCAGGAAGCAAGCGGCCGCTGGAGCTCAGGTTCTGGGAGGGGGGCAGGCAACGGCCAGTGACAGGATGGGTGGGATTACTGAGTAGGCCAGGAGTGACCAGGGAAGGACTCTGGGAATCGGGTGGGGCCAGAGCCAGGGAACTGAGGGAACAGTGGCGGAACAGAGAAGGCAGAGGCACAGAAGAGAGGGATGCGGCCGCAGCCTTGTATGTAACAGCTTAATTCCTCACTCCTCACTGACAGTGAAAAAGGCCAGCCTCCTGGTGGCTGATTGGGACCAGGTCCCAGACTAGGTGGCTTCCATGCGTGGGTGATTTAGTCTTGAAGCAGCGTTTGTCAGGAGTGCTCTTAGCTCGGTTTCCACAGGGACTGAGGCTCTGAGCGCCTTCCCAAGGCCACTGAGGGTAACAGATGGCCAGCCGGTCTGTGACCCAGCTTGTCCTCCCTATAGCGTTTCAAGGAGGTCCCCAACTCCTTGCTGGAGTCTGCACAGGGAGACCTCGGCGTGAACCGCCCAAGACCACGCAGCCAAGTCGGGCATGGCCAAGTCAGGATCAGAACTTTCCAAGGCAGTGACACCACCGCCCTGGCTGCCCCTGTGCCGGCCAATGGAGCGGACTCTGGGCTCTTGGTCCACGCCAAGCCCCTGGCCACGACCCACACTGACTGGGTCTTTGGGTTGGGCCAGGCAGAGCTGCCCCAGGGGAGGTGGGCAGGGAGGAGTGGGCCCAGGGCTGGAGCAAGGGAGCCTGGGCACCGTCCTCAGTAAGCCTTCCGTGACATAGGGATACTTATAGCACCTGTCACACGGGCCTCAGGAGGATTCCAGGACTCTGGGGCGGACATAGCGCCTGGCACTGGCCCCCGAGCCTCGGCCACACCCTCAGGGCTGTCCCCGGCTAGCCGAGCCTTCTCAATCTGAGGGAAATCCTGTTCCAGGAGCCCAGGAAAGGCTGGAGAGGTGTTTGTGAATGAAGGAATGAGGGGAAGAGTGAAGAAGTGACTGAGCGGTGGAGGACACAAGAGGCAGACACGTGGAATTTCCAGACAGACCAGATTCCAGGAGACATTCCCAGGCCCAAGATATCTCCACTCTTTTTTTTCCCTTGAGTTGAGGTCCCACTCCATCACCCAGGCCGGAGTGCAGTGGCACAATCATGGCTCACCTCGACTTCCCGGGCTCAGGCGATCCTCCCACCTCAGCCTCCTGAATACCTGGGACTGCAGGCCCACGCCACCACACCCAGGTTATTTTTTAATTGTTTCATAGAGATGAGGTCTCACTCTATTGTCCAGGCTGGTGTCAAATTCCTGGGCTCAGCCTCCCAAAGTGCTGGGATGACAGGTTTAAGCCTGGCTCGTCTCCACATTTTACAGTTATCAGATCAGTCCCAGTACAGTGCCACAGTCCTAGTTTGAGTCTCTCCTGTGTTCTGCCCAGAGCAGGTTACAAGTGGCCCTCAGCCTTGACAGCCGATGTGGGGGAAGGCAGGTGCTCCTGGGCTGTGGTGGGCACGGTGAGCCGGTTGACACAGCAGCCCCTCCCACCCTCTTCTTCCTTGCCCGCTACCACTAAAGACCTTGGAAAAGCCGGGCTCGGTGGCTCAGCCTGTAATCCCGCGCCTTTGGGAGGCCAAGGTGAATGGAGGCCAAGGCGAGTGGATTGCCTGAGCCCGCGGGTTCGAGACCCGCCCGGGCAGCGAGACCTCATCTCTACAATAAATCAAAAAATCAGCCGGGCATGGTAGTGCATGCCTGTAATTCCAGCTACTTGGAAGGCTGAGGCGGAAGGATCGCCGGAGCCCAGCAGGTCGAGGCTGCGGTGGCCGGGAGCGACCACTGCACTCCTGTCTGGGCGACAGAGTGAGACTCCAACTCAAAAAAAAAAAAAAAGAGGTTGGAAAAATAAATGGTTGTTTTTCCAGCCTCCCGTGCAGCAAGGGATGGTCATATCATATCACTTGGCTGTGGCCAGCGAGCCCTAAGTCTGCTGAGGTGTCTGTGAAAGCTTCCGTCTTTCTGCTAAAAGGGGCAAAGGCTGATGGTACTAGGTCCTCGTTGTTTTTTTCTGCCATAAGCATGGGTGAGATGGCTGGAGCTGTGGCAGTCTTATTATGATCATGAGACGAAGAGACTCACAGACACTGATCCTGATACCACCAAACCCAGGGGGCATTTAGCAATGTCTGCA